CATATTATATCACGATATTACATAAGTATTCGCTTTTGTGCGTAGCGTACAAGTACTTTATAGTTCTACGGTGCGGATTACTATTCCTTGAACTAAAAAGTTTCTTTCAAGGTGAGTCAGATTATTGTAAACGATCATGCATTGGAGGCATGATATAGCGGGTTGTAGGTCCGCTAGGTTTATATCACACATACGACAGTATGATATTTGTGTTCTTGCAGGTACTCCGCATTGGAAATGAGTGGGAGGGTCGTCACATAGGTCCTGGTCGTCTGGATCTAGGTTGCCGAAACAGTCTTGACAAAGATAATCGTTATCTAAATGGTAGGCGGAGCGTATCGACTGAACACAGAGGCAAGACTGAACCTCCTCCGTCACCTCCAGATCGAATGCGAGCACGGGTACGTCTCGGTTTTCCATGTCAGAGTTGATGAATTTGCCATCCGTTCTGTACATACATACAAAAACAGTTAATATATATTTTTTTCATAAGTTTCGTTCGGACCTGTTCCTTTGTACGAATACTGTATCCCTGTATATAATATAGTATATATAATATGTTATGATTATGTTAGTTGTTATTTATTATATATATATATTCCTTATCTCTCTCTCTCTTTCTCTTTTTTTTCTTTTTTTTTTATTATTATTATTATCTAACATTGCTGTTATGATGCTGTATTACATTGTATTGGCTATTATTCGTGTTGAGGTGCGTATGGGTGGGGTGCGCGCGACGGATTCTCCAACATGGTCGCTCGCGTGTACCTTTGGTATGGCGTTGGTTTAATGTCAACAGTAGTGTGTTGTTGAAATAACTAATTATTTGTTAATCATTATGATTTTATTTAGTAGTGTTTTTGTAATATTGTTTTGTGTTTCATGATATTGTGTGTGTAAATACCGTGTGCTACTTTAACGTAATAGCATGGATTGTATTGTTATCGAATTTCGATAGTCATTGTTTTGATTATACGTGACTTGCATTTATATAAGTCTCGTTTAATTTAGTTAATGCTTTGTGTATTGTATTACCAGTCACTTTCGTGTAGCATAACTTTATTCCTTTGTACCGAGTTCAGTCATGTCTTGTTGTTAATATTTAGTTAGTCTATCTTGATTAATTTCTAACCTATTTCTGTGTTTATTGACTTTTCTTATTTTCCCTATTAATTTATTATTGCTTGTACTTGCTATTTGTTATTATTTTATATATGATATGAATTAGTTCCCTTATTAGTGATTAAAATTTATTTATTAGATTAACATCGTCTGTAATTCTTCAGATTCTACACTTTCGATGCTGCGTCACTTACCTGGATCATTCCCACAACATCATCCGATTCTTGGATATACCTTGGATACTTACTACGGTTGCCTTCAATCATCTTATATCTGTGGCCATAAAGGTACTGTTTAATTTATTTAATTTAATGTGTGTATAATGCATTGTGTGAGCGGCCGCTATTGTGCATTGCAAAATCTGTTTCTACATGTTAGATATAATAATATAACAATACTACGTAGGTTAATACAGTATACTATCCTTTTACTCCGGTTATATTTATTACTAACTCTCAATTAATCTATCTTATTTATTTTCTAACCACTTTCTATACTTATTAGCTATTTTATTTCTTCTTATTAATCTACGAAATTCATGCATGTACACTTCCTTGTATGGTGATTGATTGTTCACGAGGTAAGTTGCACTTTCACTGTTTTAATTATTCCTTGAACTAACACGTTTTACATTCAAACAGTAATTGGAGTACTCGTAATAATCTTCCTTTCCTTTTTAGGTTTCCGCTATCTCTGTTGTTCGACGAACAGTGTCACGCTTCCACAGTATTGTTATAACATTTATTAATGTTGTATTTTGCATTAAGGCAATTGAAGTTAATTCGTTCATTTATGCTCAGCTGGCTGTCGTACATGGTGTTCCGCAAACAGGGATCCATAACCTATTTTGCACGTAAACCTTCTTGTATAATGATCACTTGTTCACAAGGTAACTTTCACTTTCACCCTTTTAATTATTCATGTGTTGTATTTTGCATTAAGGCAAGTGAAGTTAATTCGTTCATTTATGCTCAGCTGGCTGTCGTACATGGTGTTCCGCAAACAGGGATCCATAACCTATTTTGCACGTAAACCTTCTTGTATAATGATCACTTGTTCACAAGGTAACTTTCACTTTTAATTATTTTTTAATTAACACCCTTTTAATTATTCATTGAATCAACGCGTTATATATTCAAACAATAATTGGAGTACACATAATAATTTTCCTTTTTTCTTTTAGGTTTCCGCTATCTGTATTATTCGACGAATAATGTCACACCTCCTTTTGATTTAACCACAATATAGTTATAGCATTTAGTAACCTTGTATTTTGCACTGAGACAATTGAAACTAATTTATTCACTTATTTTAGGTAGCTGTTATACATTACGTTCCAAACAAGGATCCATAACCTATATTTGCACATACACTTTCTTGTATGTTGATTACTTGTTCCCAAGGTAACTTTCACTTTCACTAGTTAATTATTCATTGAGTTAACACGTTTTATATTTAAACAATAATTGAAGCACATATAATAATTGCCCTTTTCCCTTTTATGTTTTCGCTATCTGTGTCATTCGACGAACAGCACTACAACATACACTACTGCACTACGTTGCCCACTGAAATCACTTTATTCATTGTTTATTTCGATTATGCGCTAGTTTTAACTTGTTTAAGTGCACTGTTCGCGGAATCCCTTTTACTTCAATCTTGATGTTTTGGTTCTTTATGTGGTCCAGTATATTGATTGGAGAATTTTCCTTTACTAGGTTCTTTTAGTAGATATATCGAATCTCCTATTTTAAAATTTTGAGGGTTGATTCGTCGGTCGTAATATTCTTCTGATCTTAGTTTGGATTTTATCAAATTTTCTCTTGCCATTCGTTGTACGGCGTTAATTTTATCGAACAGATCTCCGAGATATTCTGCGCATGTTGTGTCACGTCCCGCGCTACGCACGTGCCGTACCGAAAAACGGAAAACCGCAATATACAAATGACGCGAGCGACAATTCGAATATTCAAAACGAACATAAGATACAACGAAAATGGAAATTGTTTAAATAAAAGTTTAATTAAATGTAGTCATATATAGAGAATTAGTATACGAGGGCAATTAAGAGGTAATAAAGTTAAAATAGGTACTCTAACGAAATAGTAAATATAAAGAGTACAACATAACCTATAATTTCATAATTCGGCTAAGGATGAACTATGAAAAACCAATCAACCAAAAGTGACTCGCAAATTAATTAATAAATCACGACATAATACTATATTCAATCAGGATAACCTACAATTCGACAATTTAATCAAATCTCGTAATAACTTCATGAATAATTCAAAGGAAAGGAAAAAGGAATAGAACGATAGGAATACACACCTTTATAACAAACAGGAAATATCGAGCAATTTAATATACAGCAAATATGGACATACAAAACCACAATAAACAAAATATATCTTACATACAACTAGATATAAAATATATAAAACACCTAGGCATATTAACACACTTCAATAAACCAGGCACTATTGTCAGAATCCACACACGAAACGTCAAGATTAAAGTAAAAGGGATTCCACGAACAATACACTCGAACAAGTTAAAACTAACACAATTGAAACAGACCACAAGAACAATTTCAAGAGACAACGGAGTACGGTAGTATATGGAACAACACTGCTTGTCGAATACTGCAGATAGTGGAAACCTAAAAGGAAAAAGGAAAATTACTATGCGTGCTCTAACTATTACTTAAATATAAAATGTGTAATTCAATAAAATAATTACAAAACAGTGGAAGTGGAAAATACCTCGTGAACAATTACTCCTCGTAGAAGGAAGTGTATGTGCGAAGACAGGTTATGTGTTCATATCCGTAGAACATAATCTACGACAGCCAGCTGAAACAAACAGCTGAACAACAAGGAATTAACTTTAATTGATTCGATACAAAACATAATACTACTAAATGTTTATAACAATATTGTGCCTAACTCAAGGCAAGTGTGCAACACTCAGGAAGTATGACACTGCTTATCGAATAATGCAGATAGTAGAAACGTAAAAGAAAAAAGAAAATTACTATGTGTGTGTTCTAACCATCATTTAAATACACAACATGTTAATTCAATAAAATAATTAAAAGCAGTGAAAGTTAAAAGCACCTAGTGCACAATTAATCTTCGTAGAAGAAAGCGTACATGCAGGAATTTCGCAGAAGCAAGTTGTGGACCCACTCCGTAGAACATAGTATACGTCTGTCAGCAGAAACGAATACATAAACTAACCTCAATTGCCTTAATATATATGGAAGAAAATAATACTATTAAAAATTTACAATTATATTTCAATTAAACTAAACGAAGCACAACAATCAATAATTGATGCTCGACAACAAACTTACAGTTCGCTAATGGAAAATAAAACCGAAAAAATCAAGAAAATTAATGACATTATAACGAAATAACTCAGTGTTGACATAGCGGTCTTTAATAAGAAGAAATAAAATCAGTCAATAAATGCAGGAAGAGTTAAGAAATAACTAAGATATGTTAAGTGAGTGACAACGATAATTTACTACTCACATCGAAGAAGTTTATACAAGGGTCAACGCAGTGATGAGAAACCAACTACCAAATTGGAATAAATGTGTACGAAGAATTGAAGTTGATACTACTGGAATGGTCAAGAAGACGTGATAAAATTGGAAAGTCAGAAATTAGTGACATTATAACAAACGATTCAACACCGACGGAATGGTCTTAGCAAGCAAGAAAAGGTACCTTACAAGTTAACGAGGTTTGTATGCAACCAATCATCGTAGAAAGAAGTGTGCATGCAGGAACTCCACGAGTATTGGCTACGGATCCAACTTTGCAAAACATAATATACGACGGTATGAAGATATCGAAGGTAATAAATACCGAGGTAACCAATCATAACCTAAAAAGGGGAAGAACGTTGTAAACCATATTGGAATAGAAATTGATAATAATAAGAAGCTCGTTACTCACATCGGAAGATATACATTAAAGCCGACGCAGTTACAAGAAGCCTACTACCAATCTTAAGTGAATACTTATGGAATACTGAATCAGATACCACCGAAACAGTCAAGATGGCAACAGGGAATTGGATAATCAAAGAAAAATTTGTGACGCCATAATAAATAATCCAACGTTGACGAAGCGGTCTTAGCAAACAAGATAGTGGACAGACTATTTTACTATACAGATATTTACAAAATATAGTGTTTTATATATATCTATATATATACTTACAATTCTAGGATAAGTAAAAGTAGTCTTGATAAGTGTTAGACATGTTGCGAAGAACCAGAAGATACCAAACGCGCACCATGTAGCCGTTCCAAGTAAAAGACTCAGCATTGAAGGATTAGAATTGTAGAACCTATAAACAATAAAGATTTTAACTAGCAATGTATAAGATTAGCTCCTAAATTCTATGTAAAGGCTGCAAATTACACGCACAAGGTAACGACAACTTCATAACAAAGAAACAGAAAATAGCCAATAATATAGGAATAGGTTATGAATTAATCAAAACTGATTAACTGAGTATCAACGACAAACGCGATTAAGATAAAAAATTATTATATTGTACTAAGTTAATATAGCATAATTGTATTAATTCTGGCGTAGAGAAATAAGGTTATGTTACGCAGTAGAACTGGTAATAACAAACTATGCACATATTACTATCAAATTAATTAAGCGAACACTCTATAAAAATAAATTACTCAAAACACACCAATAAAACAGTGCTATTGATAAATTATAAAATTTAACAATAACACA